GCCTCCCCCGCGCCTAGAACCCCCCTGTTCCACCCCGGGGATGTGTTTTGGGGAGAGGGTGGGTTCATCCGGCATGCAGTGACCTGCCCCGTCCCAGCAGTTTTGGGGGGCAGAGCTTCCCAACCTGCTCGTGGGCAGGGCTCGGGGTAGGGAGCATCCATCAGTTATTTTATTCACTAACCCAGGGCTTCCACTTTGTTTTTGCCAGGGAGTGATATCAACAGGCTTGCTAATCCTTCTGCTGCGGAAATGTGAGCTGAAACCAGAGATTTCCATATCGGACAAAAGCGTTGGCTGTTGGGTTTTCTTCCCTTGATATGAAGAGTTTCCAGATGATGTTCCCAGACTGATTCTCACCAAGGAGATACTCAAGCCAGCTCAGATGGCCTCCAAAAGCAGAGGAAGTGCCTGAAGTGAGGGAGCTTCATTAGCAAACGTCTGCTTGGGTGGTTTGGGGAGGCGCTGAACCTCACCAGTCCTCCAGCAGCTATCCCAGATGGGATGAATGCCCTTTGGAGGACCTCTCACATCTGTGGACAGGACCCTCCTGCACCACCAGTGGCCCCCAGCAAGGCTGTGGGTCTGCGTGAGATAAGAGGACACAGCTTGCACGCCACCGAGCATCCCGACCCTACATGTAATGGCAAGGCCACATCCTGCCCTTCCCCACAGCTGGATCCAGCCTGGTGGATCCAGTCTCTTTTCCTCTGGGAAGGCTGAAATATGAGTTTACCTCTAGGGTTAGGCAGAAAAACCAAAAGCCCAGTCGGATCGTCAGCTCACAACCGCCTCCCGGCTTTGCTTTCAGCTTGTAAAAATGTTAGGCGAGGAGCTTTTATTTGTTTTCTTTGTCCCTGCAGAGAACTGGTCAGGGCAAAGCTGGGGGAAGTGCTGGCTCCGAGCCCTGGCAGCTCAGGACACAACGCTGCACCCCTGGGCTCATTTCTCCATCTCCAGCACAGCAGGCATCTCTGTGTCCATATCCATATTTTTGGGACATGGTTTAGTAGGCATGGTGGTGTTGGATTGACGGTTCGACTTGATGATCTTGGAGTTCTTTTCCAACCTTAATGATGTTGGTACCAGATGACCCTTGAGGTCCCTTCCAACCTAGGATTCTATGATTCTGTGATCCACCATAGTGGGGAGAGTGACCCTGAGATCATCTCACAAAGCTCTGAGGGACACCAAGAGAAGTGCTGTGTGAAGGAACACCATGGACCAAGGATGGGAAAATGGGGCAGGGGGGAGCCAGGAAAAGGACACTGCAGGGGTGGGAGGAGCAGTGGTCCAACTGGACATGGTGGACATGAAGACCTTTCGGTGCCGACACTTTGGGGCTGGATCCCACCACTGCACCAGCAAACCCCACTCCACCACTGCAAGAATTGTCCCTCTGGCCAGACGTAGACATTTACCCTCTGGGCTTGTCCTGAGCCACCCCATGGCCAGCGGAAAGAAAAAAGATGTCATGGTGGACACTGACATGGCTATAAGATTAATTACACCCCATAGCTGGCTCTTTATGGGGTGGTACGGGGTGGGGGGATAGGGGCAGGGGATCAAGGGGAACACGTTGCTCTTGAATCCCAGCCAAGAGCTCCTCCAGCGTGATTAGCTAAAGACCAGCTTTCCTTTATTGCACATGAGTGGATAGACATTTAACGTGCTTGTCTATAATGAAATCCATTATCCTCGTCTTTCACGGAGGCCCTACGGTTCTGGTTCCCCCTTTTGATGGCCGGAGGTGGCGGGGGAGAGGAGGTGGAGGAGGGATGGAGCCAGGTACAGCCAGGCCCTTTGTGCGGCCACTCAGGAGGCACTCTCCCTGGAAATGTTTGGCCTCCTAAATGGATCTGACCTCCTCTCCTGCAGCCCCTTTCCCTTTCATTTTCTTTTCCTCATTATTCTTGGAAAAAAAAAAAAAAAAAACCAACAAAAAAACCCCAACCACCCAACCCTCGTCCGGATCATTAGCGTCAGAGGCGGAGATGGGCGCCGAGTGCCACATGGAAGAGGCGAACGTACATTTCGTTCAATGCCCCTCGAGTGGTGTTTCGCTCAAGGCTGCTCCTTCACAAAGGGAGATGTGAAAATGGTCCCCGCTGGCGGCTCAGCGCTGGCCGCCCCGACAGGACTCGACGCAAAGCTGCCTCTTCAGGCAGACAAAGCGCGGCCGTTCCTTCTGCCTTCGATTGATGTCTGAGTTGTTTGGGGAGCATTTAGCGAGGAGGGGAGAGGAGAGGAGGGGGGAAATTCAATGAGAGAGCCTGGGCGATGCTAATAGAGATAACGGCTCTGAAAGGCTCAAGGTTGAGTGCTCAGCGTTTGGTCTGCCCATCTTCGTCATCCTTCCCTGCTGCCTGGAGGGACATCAGCTACAACGCCTCCAGCCGTCCAGGATTAATTGAAGCCAGCACCAAAAGCCCTGGCTACCCCTTGGCCAACTCTTTCCAAAGTCATAGACGGAGCTTACACCACCCTGCTGGGGTTGTTGAGCATCCATCTCCCCATCGTGCTGTGAAGAGCAGCACCATGAAGCCTGTGCCTCCACCATCCTCCCCTGCTGTGAGCACAACTTCTTCTTCTTCCCAAATGCGGGAATGCACAATGTTTCCATGGGCATGCAACTTCTGCTCTTCCTGCTCCATCCCACATCCCGCTCTATCTGCTCCCCGCTGGAGTTTCTGGAGGAGACAAGGTCCCCACCACCATCACCCAGGTGCTGCAGCCTCTCCTCTGCTCCGTGAGCCAGTGGCCAGCCTTCAACATGCCCTCAGCGTGCAAACAACCCATTGGCTCTCACATGGTCTCTGTTTGAGGGACATAGGTCAAAAAACTGCAATATTTCTACATTTCTTGTTCCTGCCTGATAGAGTGAAGAGACCGCTGGGCATCCCTGGATAACTCTCCATCCCTGCCCCTGCCTTGGTCTCCTGGAGGGAAGGACGAATGAACCCAACTCTATCCACCCCAGCCTCTTAGGATTGCAATGACCCAAATCAGCTCCCACCCCTGACACCGATAACTGGTGATTTGCTGTAAAATAATCAGCAGTAAGAGCCAGTTCAGAGGCTCCTGGAGACCAGGGAGCCCCCAAATAAGAGTAACCTGGGATCCCCCAAATCAGAGTAACCAGGGAGCCCCCAAATCAGAGTAACCTGGAATCCCCCAAATCAGAGTAACCAGGGATCTCCCAAATCAGAGTAAACTTTAGTGCTGCTCCGCTGCCCGCGGTCACGCTCCACAAATACCAGCAAAAGCTGTACCCCAAGCTACTGGGACCTTGGGCTTCCAGGGCTCATGGTCCCTGCCAGCCCCAAGCCCTGGATGCCAAACTGCCCCGGGATGCCCTGCCCTGGGAATGCATCAGATGGAGACTTAGGGTCCAGCTGGAGCTGGGATGCTGCATGTGCTCAGGAAGCTCTCGGGGAGGCTTTGGGATCCTGCAGGGATCCGGCTCTGCCCGGGGGCTTTGCTAAGCCCTTAATCCTCGCCGACAGCACCAGCACCAGCATCTCGAAGGGGCAAGCGAGGCTGCTCGTGCTCCTCGCAGCGGCTCCTCTCAGCTCCCTGCAGCCTCCCAAATCCCGCTCCCCATCCTTCCTTCTCTCCCGTGCTTTCCATGCATGATTTAAAAAGAGAGATGGAGCTGCAGAAAGGAGGAAAACAGGGCAGGGCAGAGTGTCGCCGGGGCTGGAGGGGGGGCTGGGTGCAGTTCTGCTCCTGTGGGACCCCGAAACGCAGTGCGAGCTCTGGCTTGCAGGAGTGGAGCCCTTGCTGGGCTCCTAAACCCAGCCAAAAGCCAGCTCCCCCCCCTAAGAAGATGTAATCCCTCTTATGGGCACGGGCAGTAATCTGGGATTTGGCTCTGGGTGTGCAAACGCGCGTGTGCGCCGTGTGCGCGTGGGTCTGCGGTACCCAAGCGGGTCGAGAAGAAACGAAAGGCAGCGTGAAGGAGGGAAGAAAATGCTGAATTGGGCAATTTTGAGCTCCTGACCCCACCTCTCCTGTTGCCCCAGGGATGGCTCTGCCCTGGGGTAACCCCCAGGGCCGGTGCGCACCCGTGCTGGGCAGGAGGGGACGGTCCCGTCCCGGTCCCGGAGGGAGGGCAGGATTTATCCCCGGCACTTTTAACCAGCCAAAAGTCAGGCAGCTCCTCCCAGCCCACGGACTGGGCTGGCTCCGCTGGCACCGGAGAAGGAGCCACATCCCAGGGGCATCCTCAGGGGGGTGGCAGGGACCCCAGGAGCTGCTCCAGGCAGGAGGGGGGTCCCACTGTGGGGACGGGGCCACCCCCTCCAGAGGGTCACAGCTGTGCCCCTACCCCAGGGATTTGCTCACCCTGCCCTTCCAGCCCAGAAAACGGGACAATTTCCAAACCCAGAAGTTGAAATGAGATTAATTTGGTCTAAAAGCAAGGTGCAATATTTACTTACTGGGTTTGGGTTTTTTTTTTTTATTACCAGCAGCTGGAATTGAGCGAGAGGTGCCCTTCGGGGAGGGTTGCCCATGCAATGAGCTGCTTCGTCCCCAGCCGGTGGGGCAGCTGCCCAATTCCCATGCTCCCCGGCTGCTCCGAGCAGTTTCAAAACAGCCCACAAACATGAGAGCGGAGCCTTCGGATAGCAAATGGATTTATTCCTACCGAAGCCATCATTCCCTGCCGAGGGTTACAGCCCCAAAGCCCCATGACCATCTCACTGCTTCTACAGGGCACTCGCTCCCTTCCTGTTCAGGGGATGTCCAGGGGTATTTTTGGTCCCTTGCATTTCCAAGAAAAGCAGTCAACTGTATTTCCCCAAAAAACTCTTAATGAGGGGAATAGAAATCGCAGTGGATGGGGGTCAGGACCAGCCCTGATGATGCCCTGGTGATGTCCTGGTGATACCTGGTGATGCCCTGGTGATACCTGGTGATGCCCTGGTTATGCCTGGTGATGTCCTGGGGATGCCCTGGGGATGCCTGGTGATGCTGGAGATGCCCTGGTGATGCCCTGGGGATGCCTGGGGATGCTGGTGATGCCCTGGTGATGCCCTAGTGATGCCTGGTGATGCCCTGGGGATGCCCTGGGGATGCCTGGGGATGCCTGGGGATGCCTGGTGATGCCCTGGTGATGCCCTGGTGATGCCTGGGGATGCTGGTGATGCCCTGGTGATGCCCTAGTGATGCCTGGTGATGCCCTGGTTATGCCCTGGTGATATCCTGGTGATGCCCTGGTGATGTCCTGGTGATACCTGGTGATGCCCTGGTGATGCCTGATCTGGCACACATGAGAAAACCCAGTGCACTGGAGAAAGGTTGCAGTGGTGTTTGGCCATTCACTGCTGTCCAAGGAGATTGGCGCTGGGGGCAAAACCAGGACAGACAAAACCCGTAATGTGCTGGGCTCCTCTGCCCGAAGATCAGCAACTATTTCTGCAGCTTGGTCCTCGCTAGGGAATGCCATCACCTTCAATGCCGTCACCTTCATCCCTGGGAGGGCTCCAGGGGAAAGACGGGCATAACAGGACTAAAGCCACAGCCCTCAGAGGAGCTCAAGTCAGCCCAGTTGTGACAGCCAAGATGAGCCTGACTCCAGCTTTCCAAAGCCATGGAAAATCAGGCTGCAGGCTCCCGTCATAATTTCTAAAGAGATCAAGACGGAGCTGCAGGACAGGGCTTCCCTGAAAGGATTTGGCCAGCTGGGATGAATTTGCTGGCTGGAATAATCAAGATGAGGAAGGCGAAGGAATTCTGGAGGTGCCAGAACATGTTGACATTTCCCAGCCTATCAATATTTGAGGAAATTCAGCCACAGGAGGGGATAAATGTGCGAAGAGGTGCTGGACGACTGATGTGCAAACCAACACCTTCCCTCGAGAGGAAACTCCACAGCCCCAGCTGCAGGTCCCAAATGGCAAACCGGTTTTTGAAGGACACTTTGAGAGCACCAGTGCTCTTGTGCCCTCACCTGCTTTTCCAGGCTGCTTTGCTGCCGCCTCTCCTGGGTCACACACACCGCTCCCTGGGTGCAGACACCTTTCTCCTGGGGTGCATCAAGAGGAGCGTGGCCAGCAGGGCGAGGAAGGTTCTCCTCCCCCTCTGCTCTTCCCCAATGAGACCCCACCTGGAGCTCTGGGTCCAGTTCTGGGCTCCCCGGTTCAAGAAGGATGAGGAACTCCTGGAGAGAGTCCAGAGGAGGGCAACAAGGCTGATGGGGGGACTGGAGCATCTCCCCTAGGAGGAAAGGCTGAGGGAGCTGGGCTTGTTCAGCCTGGAGAAGAGAAGGCTGAGAGGGGATCTCATCACCACCTACAAATACCTCAAGGGTGGGGGTCACCAGGACGCAGCCAGACTCTTCCCAGTGGTGCCCAGCGCCAGGACAAGGGGCCATGGGCACAACCTGAAGCAGAAGAGGTTCCAGGTGAACGGGAGGAAGAACTCCGAGCCCTGGCCCAGGCTGCCCAGGGGGGCTGTGGAGTCTCCTTCTCTGGAGATCTTCAACCCCCCCCTGGACGCTGTCCTGTGCCCCCTGCTCTGGGTGAGCCTGCTTGGGCAGGGGGGTGGCACTGGGTGAGCTCTGGAGGGCCCTGCCAGCCCCGGCCATGCTGGGATTCTGGGATTCTCCCCTTGTCTTTGCCTCTGCTCACCGGCTACATCTGCACCGAGCCCAGATGCTGCATGGGAGCATCCCCAGGCATGGCACCATGGCCACCCAAAGCCCTTTCACTCCAGCCAAGCCCCTTGAGTCTCTTGGGTCCCTGTCACGCTCTGCTTGGTGCCAGAACCAGTGCCACACGCCCTGTCCTGGTGCAAGATGTGCAGCTGGTACCCACCAGAGCATCATTTCTAAGGGAGACGAGGGTCTTGAAGGATGAGCAGGAGCTGCTAAGCAAGGCAAGCAGCCTTTCAAACACTTGTGCCACTGGAAAGGTTGCTCCTATCCTCAAAAGTGAGACATTTCTTTACAGAGCCGATGGGCCGTGCAGCTCCTGGCCGAGGGATGCTGCAGGTGCTGAAAGTCGATTGGATTGAAGAGGAC